AAAATTCCGTGATACGTCAATCATATACCGTGATTGGCATTACAACGTACGCAAACCGATCGTTATTTGTTTTAAATCAAAATAGTTTTTAAAATCCACATTGCTTTGGATCRTATTTTTAGGTCACAGTAGATGTGGAACTGTCAAAACTGTTGCAAATTTTCATTAAACTAACAAAAGCCAATTAAATGTCAAATCGGATCCGACTTTTTTTTTGTTTTTGAGCTGTAGTGAAAGTGATGGGGATGAAAAAATAGTGCGGAAGTAGCTAAGATATCGTAGCAATAGCGTAGGTATAAAAAAAACATGAAACCTCATTAAAAAAATTTTCTTTGTAGATGTATCGTTGAACGAAGCATTAGAATATAAAAAAGGCGGTGAATAATTTTAGGATATGGCAAAAGAGGAAGGTATCACCCCACAAAAGTGGCTAGATTTGCTAACGTTTGAGCGGCTAATATAACATCTGCATACAATTTAAGGGTTCGTCTCAGTGTGAAATTTTCGGCAAATCGACAATTTTTGTTGCATTATCGGATAGTATACACTACATCAAAAGGGGGAACATAACGACTTTTTTGTTCAAACCGCTGCCATTTTGTCAAATAAAAAAAGTTTCCTTAGCATGATAGCCACTTTCCTGCAGATTAATAATCTTTTTGAAATTTTTGTTTTAGATCAAAATTGCGGCCGCAATCTTGGACATCGTACAGGACTTTGTTTCTTACGTGTAATTTCAAAATATTAACTATTATACATCCAATAAATAAACATAAAAACATTATATTCGACATGAATGTATTTATTTTTAACAAAAAAAAACTGGGCCGATTGAGTAATTTCAACATGAACAAATCGTGAGAATCAGCGAGTAACAGTAAGACAATCCCTTAAAATAAGATACCGGGTTAGCGAAACGCCTAATCGCAATCGGAGAAATGAAAATACACAAAATAAAGTATTCTTCATTAAATATAATTTGAAAATGTCAAAAATTTTGCTCATGTAAATTAATTTTTTATGAGGTATTCCATTTATGGCATCTTGCTTTTGTTCTTTGTTATTAAACATTACAAAAAAATATAAAATTTAAAAAAATTTACTCACATTTTCATAAATTTTATTTTAATTTTTCATTTGAATGACATTTCGAATGAACGGATACKTTTACTCGKTCACGTACGCCAGAATACGATAGAAGTGTTACGATCACGTATGACGTACTTCTCCGAAGGCGAAATATATCAGAGTTATTGGCAGTCCTTGGACCGTTCCGGTTATGTGGGCCCGACTGTCGTGGAATAGTATATAAKCTCTCTGATTTTCGCAAAGGCGGACTTTAGTTCATTAGTTTTGAATTCCGTTTATCTCTACTCAACTTAGTCGAATGGTAAACTGTACTAGGGGYATAACTACGATGTTCYAATATAAATAMATTTTTGTAGCTTAATGAAAATAAAAAATTCACCCCCAATGAGGAAGTATGTTCGGAACTTTCAGAATGTGTTTTTMCTTCAATTTTYCACTTCCCTTGAATTTGYTATTGAACCAATCGATAAAATTATTTCACARCTTTCAAAGTAGTCTCCTTCTGCGKCGATGCAGCGCTTCCAGCGCGATTTCCAAGTATTGAAGGCGTTTGAATAGCCTTGAGAGCCGAAGTGCATGCTGCTTGGATCC